TGATTTACCTATCCAGAGTCTTTTTCCTTTCCATATAAATTGTCGATTTATTTTCCATCTCTTTAAAGGAATATGAAGGAAACTGAATGGAGATGCAACATATCTGCAGATTACTTGGGGTATTATTGATATTTCCACAATTTTAAGTCTTTCTAACAATAAGTATGGTATATTTTTCAATTTACGCATGTCTCTTTTGATTTCTTGTAAAAGTGTTCTGTGGCTTTCTTTGTATAGGTCTTTTGTATCTCTGGTTAGATTTATTTATAAGTTGTTCATCTTTGAATAGTTATTGTAAGTGGTATTTCTTCTCTAATTTCTTTTTCAGAGTTATTTTCATTTGTTCAAAGGAATCCAACTGATTTTTATATAGTAATCTTGTGCCCTGCCAGTTTTCTGAAACTTTCAATTAGTTACAGTGATTTTCTTACTGAGTCTTTGGGATTTTCTACGTATAAGATTATATCATTTGCAACAGAGATAGTTTTACTTCTTCTTTGCCAATTTAGATGCCTTTCATTTCTATTTATGTCCTTCTTGCTCAGGCTAGGACTTCCAACACAGTATTGACTAATATTGGTGATAAAAGACATCCTTGTCTGGCACCCATTTGTAAGGGGAATGCTTTTAGTCTTTCACTATTGCAAATAATGTTGGCTGTTGTTTTTGTATACATACCCTTACTTACATTGAGGAATTTCCTTTTTAGTTTTATATTATTCAGTGTTTTTATCAGAAATAGGTGATGCATTTTGTCAAATGCATTTTCTGCATCAATTGATATGATCATGTGGTTATATTCCTTTGTTTTATTTATGTGGTGAATTATGTTGCTTTTCTAATATTGAACCAACATTTTACAGCTAGTATGAATCCCACTTGGTCATGATGTATTATATATATATTTGCAACCATTTCTTTGCAATTGTATGTGTACACCTTCACAGTCTGCAACCCACTTCTATAATCTTAGAGGATCCTGTGCTTTTTATGTGGAAACATGCACTTTATTAAATACACCAAATCATTCCAATATTATTTGACTTTCTACAAACTGACTGCATTTCAGAACAATTCTCTGTTTCTTTTCTAAATTTTTACATAAATTTTATTTTCAACCCTGTAGTAGCATACTGATATTGCCTGTTATTAAACCTTTTTTTAAAAAAAAAAATCATAGTGCAATTAATAAAACAAAACAAAATTATTTGTGTGAGGAGTAGTGAGAAGTAAGAGTAATGTAAAAAAAAAGAGAAAGAAAAGAAAGCATGAATATTATAAATATCAAAAGCAATCTTCTTTGTAAGAACACCTAAAAACAACTGGAAAAAAAAAGTACCATTGTGCATATCAAATCATTTGATATTGAAAATCTTTCAGGGAAATAGATATATTAAGTGAACTTTAAAAAAAGTGTAAATTAGGCATCAGAAACCCTACATGGTTGACAGATGTTCACATGGTCTTAAGATGGGGAGCTCATCTTATGCTTCTGCTTTATAAGCTCCTTGTGTTCTTTTTCTAGGTCATCATCTTCTAGGTTTTAAATGCTCCCTCCCATCACCAAGAACACAGTTCTATCTAAGCCAATCTGATGAAGTTGAAGGAGAAAACAGCCTCCAGACAAAATGGGGAAAACTGCTCCCATTGATTTGCATTTAATAACCCTGCTAGTTAAATGGTAGCATAGTGGCTAAGACACTTGCCTGCTAACCAGACGGCTGGCGGTTCAAACCCACCAGCCACTCCTCGGAAGGAAGGTTGGGCAATCCTACTTCCGTAGTGATACTGCCTCGGAAACCCAAGGAGGGGTCGCTATGAGTCGGGGCCGACTCGACGGCACATAACAACAACAACAAAGTTAAATGGGTTAAATGGGCGTATCTGCTTTTTCCGGAAAAAAACTGAATACAGCCCAAAGCATCCAAAACTGGGCTGCTAAAGTTGGTTAAATAGTTTTTTCTGACATCAAGCAAGACTTGGCTGCATTTGTGTTACCTTTCATCACTAGTGTCCAGTAGCAATAAATAATCTCTGAACCTAGCCTGAATTTTGTTAAAATGGTGAGAACACAAAGCTTATCATAGGATCATCAAGATATGTTTCAAGGGGCCTGAAAAATGGTTCTGGGTTTTAACAACTTGGTGTGAGATTTTCAGTTAACTACCAACCATCTACCATAAAGATTTACAGCCTTATCAACTCTATAGATAGTTCTACACAGTCCTATAGGGTCTCTAAGAATTGACCAATGCCAGTGGATATCATCTATTTACCTATCTTTCTATTTATTAAAGGAAAAAGTGTTTTCCACTATTTGGTGGGGAAAGTTATATATATTTATGTGTGTTATATGTGTGTGTGTATGTGTGTACACATACACACACACATATAATCAGAAATCTGGCAGTTCAAACCCACTAGCCACTCCTCAGAAGGAAGGTTGGGCAATGTACTTCCATAGTTATACTGCCACAAAGACCCAAGGAGAGGTTGCTATGAGTTGGGGCCGACTCAACCGCACATAACAACAACAACAAATATACATGTACACATACCCAGAATAACTAATAAATCTAATAATCCTAATCTAACCTCAATAATTGGAGAAGAAACGTTAAAATGATCATTGAATTTACCAGGAATTTAGACAGTTCTTTCTCACCTACCCTTCAATATATTTTCCAAAGTAAAAGTAATTTGTAAAACACCAGAAATAAATCATAGAATCCTTGGCCCTTAAGATGAAGTGTTTTAATTTCTAAAAAATGCATATGATTAATTTTTCTTCTACTTCCAAATTTAGATAATGGAAGAATATTTCCAGCTGCTAAACAAAGAAGGGATATATGGATATTCAGAATCTTGGTGCAAGTCTATAGCTGTATCGCCTTTGAATTTTATGCCAATTCATTCTCTATGTTCTTCAAATTTATACATCCCTGAAACTTCTATAGAATTTATCAAGAGAGAATTTAAGCATGTGTTCAAAATCACTTGAGTATTTTGTTTCTATGAGACTAAACACTTACTAAAGATGAGAAAAGTTTACAATGGTAACTGCATATATGGGGACCTATGTACATGAGAGGAAAGATGTCACTTTGAAGACTAAAATGAGCCTGACCCAAGCCATGGTAGTTTCTATTGCCTCATATGCCTGTGAGAGCTGGACAACAAAGACCTAAGAAGAATTGATGCCTATCAATTGTGGTATTGGTGAAGAATACTGAATAAACTGTGGACTGCCAGAACAAACAAAATCATCTGGAAGAAGTACAGCCAGAATGCTTCTTGGAAGGGAAATTAGCCAGACTTTATATCATCTGTTGCTGTTGTTAGGTGCTGTTGAGTCATTTCTGACTCATAGTGACTCCAAGCATAGCAAAACAAAACACTGCCCGGTCCCATGCCAGCTCCATGATCCTTGCTATACTTGAGCCCATTGTCACAACCACCATGTAAACCCATCTAGTCAAAGGCCTTCCCCTCTTTTGTTGACCCTCCCCCTTACCAAGCATGACATTCTTCTCCAAGGAATGGTCCCTTCTGACAATGTAACCAAATTAGGTGAGACGAGGTCTGGCCATTCTCACTTCCAAGGAGCATTCCAGCTGCACTTCCTCCAGGACAGATCTGTTAGTTTTTTTTTTAGCAGTCCATGATACTTACAGCATTCCTCAGCAGCACCACAACTCAAAAGCATCAACTGTTCTTCTGTCTTCCTTATCCATTGTCCAGCTCTCACATGCATATAAGACAATTGGAAATATCATGGCCTGTGTCAGGCACACCTTAGTCCTCAAGGAGACATCCTTGCTCCTCAGCACTTGAAAGAGATCCTTCGCAGTCAACCTGCCCAGTGCTACACGTCATCTAATGTCCTGATTGCTGCTTCCATTGGCATCGATTGTAGAACCAAGCAACATGAATTCTTTGACAACCTCAATCTTGGTTATCCATTTATCATGATGCTGCTTATTGGTCCAGTGTCAGGATTTTTGTTTTCTCTATATTGAGATGTAATCCATACTGAAGACTGTGTTCTTCAATCTTTATCAGTAAGTGCTTCAAATCATCCTCATTTTCAGCAAGTAAAGTTGTATCATCAGCATATCTCAGGTTGTTAATGATTCTTCCTCCAATCCTGATGCCACGTGTTTCTTGATATAGTCCAGCTTCTCAGATTATTTGCTCAGCATATAGATTGAATAAGTATGGGGAAAGGATACAACCCTGAGGAACTCCCTTCTGGATTTTAAACCATGTTGTGTCCCCTTGTTCCATTTGAATGACAGCCTCCTGGTCAAGGTACAAGTTCCTCATGAGTACAATCAAGTGTTTGGTAATTCCCATTATTTTCAATGTTATCCCTAATTTGTCATGATCTACACAATCAAATGCCTTTGCATAGTCAATAAAACACAAGTAAACATCTTTCTGGTATTCTTTGCCTTGAGCCAAGATCCATCTGACAGCACTTACTTTGGTCATATTATCAGAAGGGACAATTCCCTGGAGAAGGATACCATGCTTGGTAAAGTAGAGGGTCAGTGTAAAAGGGGAAATCTCTCAATAATTTTGATTTACAAAGTGGTATAATGGGTTCAAGCATAGCAAGGATTTTGAGGATGGCACAGGACAAGGTAATATTTTATTCTATTGTACATAGGGCTGCTTTGGGTTGGAAACAAATAATGGCACCTAGTAACAACTAGCATATGTACAAGAAGTACAAATAAAGAAGTTTTATGAGAGAAGAATTGAAATAAAGGGGAGCAAAAAAAGAATAAACATCACTGGTGTTTATGGAACACTGGCATTATGCATGTATAAATGTTATTATGAGTTTAAATTTTCAAAAAAATTTTGACAAAAGTAATATTGATACACTTCTCAACACAACAGGCATTGGTGGCTGCTTTCTGCATTATCCATAATATCCATACCTCAAATAACAGAACACACAACCCCTTGACAAGTGTAAATGATTAAGATGGTCAGAACTCTTCTCTTGTTTTACCACAGAGTCTGTTACAGTTTGTCAAAACTCTCCTCAAGGCCCCTGTCACATCCCTGTTTCTCAGGCTGTAGATAACAGGGTTTAACAAGGGGGTGAGGATGGTGTAAAAGGCAGAAAATATCTTATCTTTGAGTGGGGTGTGATATGACTGGGGAAGCATATAAGTGTATAAAGCAGCACCATAGAACAGTGTAACCACCATCATGTGTGAAGAACATGTGGCAAAGGCCTTCTTCTTCCCTTCTACTGACTTCATTTGATGCACCATAATGAGAATCTGGGTATAAGAAACAATCACCACAGAGAAGGGGATAAGCAGCATCATGACACAACAAACATACATCACCATTTCATAGGCAGCTTTGTTGCCACATGCCAGTCTCAGCATAGTGGGTGCCTCACAGAAAAAGTGATTAATCTTGTGGGAGGTGCAGAAAGGGAGGCGCATCGTTATGGGGGTGAGGAGGAAACTATCTAAAGCACCCCCAAACCAAGAGCTGGCTAAGATCATCCAACAGACCCTTCGGCTCATTAGGACAGGGTAGCGGAGAGGGTAACAAATGGCTACATAGCGATCATAGGCCATGAGACCTAACAGGAAGAATTCTGCCCCCACAAAGCCCATGTACAGAAAGTACTGGGCTGAGCATGCAATGAAGGAGATGGTCCCATTGCCCAAAAGATAATCAATCAGCATCTTGGGAACAATAGTGGAGATATACATCATGTCAATTAAGGAGAGGTGACTGAGTAGGAAATACATGGGAGTGTGGAGGTGAGGATCTATGCAGATCAGGAAGATCATGACCCCATTAGCTATGATAGACATGAAAAAGATGACACAAATGAAGCTAAAGAGGATGCCTGAGGTTTGACTGTGTTTGAAGAGGCCGATGAGCGTAAAGTCACTAGAAAATGTTCTGTTGTCTTCATCCATACTGGTTGATTTTGACCTAGAGGCATCACAAGGGAAGTATAATATTAATGGCTCTAGATAATATTAATTATTTTACAAAATACACACAAGAGTTACTTAATTAAATTTATATAAGTTACATTAAGAATATTTTTCAATGGTTTGCATTTTTTTCTTGTCTATAATTTCTAATTGAAGTGCATTTACAAAATTAGGTCCACATGGCACAAAAAATGAATGAAAATTTGGCAACTGATATTTGCTTTGTTCTTGATGTTGTTGTTAGATGCTGAAAAACTGATCAGTCTTGCACCATCCTCACAAGATTTGTTATGCATGAGCTCATTGTTGTAGCCACTGTGTCAATTCATCTACTTCAGAGTTTTTGCTCTTTCTATGACCATCTATAAAGTGTGATATCCTTTTCCAGGGATTGGTCTCCTCTGACAATATGACCAAAGTGTGTAAGATGAAGTCTGGCCATCCTTGCTTCTAAGGAGCATTAAGGCTATATTTCTTCCAAGATGAAATTGTTCTTCCTTTGGAATTCCATGGTATTTTCAGTATTCCTCACCAACACCACAATTCAAATGCATCAATTTTTCTTCAGTCATCATTATTCATTGTTCAGTTTTCACATTATTGAAAATAATATGGCTTGGGTCAGGTGCACCTTATTCCTCAATGTGACATCTTTGCATTCTAACACTTTAAAAAGGTCTTTTGCAGATTGGTCTATTGCAATATGTCATTTGCTTTCTTGGCTGCTGGTTCTATGGGTATTGATTGTGGATCCAGGTTTATTCTGTCACCATTAGCAGAGGAAGCTCAGCAGAACTGTCTGATGAGTTTCCCTGTGATGATCTCTGGAATCAGAAGGAGACATAAAAAGCCAAAGGGAACAGAAAAACCTGACAATGCTACAAGACTCTTTAGGAGAGGTCAAACACACAGTCATGTTAGTACATTGCTTCCTGATAGAGAAAGGGAAGGATACCCATGTAGTTAAAGACATGGTAACAGGATTAGAAATTATCAGAGAGGCAGCAAAGAACTGTACTGAAGAAATGAAAAAGGCATTATAGGCATGGAGAATAAAATTTGAATAGTACTCCCAGAGAAAGAGAAAGGTCAGATATTAAATGATAAGGGCTACAAATGATAGATATGAAATAAAGAGAACTAAAAAAAAAAAAGCAAATTATAAATAACTGGCATTTTAAAGAGTGATTCCACAAATACAAGGGTATTATAAATGCAAAAATAGAAGATAACTTTTGTGAAAGGAAGAAAAAACTGTATATGTGAAGGATTTTGTTGTGATTGTCGGGTGCTGTTGACCTGATACCTACCCACAGTGACCCCTGTGAGAGTACAACTTCCTCATAGAGTTTTATTGCCTATACTCTTTATGTAAACAGATAATCAGATCTTTCTTCTGAAGAAACACTGGTGAGTTGGAACTGCCAACCTTTATAGTTATCATCTGAATGCTTAATTGTTGTGCCAACAAGCTCCTTTATATATGTATGGATGTTGTTGTTGTTGGGTGCCATTGAGATGGCTCTGACTCATAGCAACCCTATGTACAACAGAATGAAACACTGCCATTCCTGGGTCATCCTCACAATCTTTGCTATATTTGAGCCCATCATTGGAGCCACTACACTGTATCAATTCATCTGGTTAAGAGTATTCCTCTTTTCCTATGACTCTCTACTTTATAAAGCATGATATCTTTTTCCAGTAAACAGTCCCTTCTGACAACACCATCAAAGTATGTGAGACAAAGTCTGGCCATTCTTGCTTCCAAGGAACATTCCAGCTGCACTTCTTCCAGGACAGATTTGTTCATTTTTCTGGCAGTCCATGATATTTTCAGTAATTTTCACCAGCACCGTAATGCAAATACATCAACTATTATTCAGCAATTCTTATCCATTGGCTAGCTTCCACATGTATGAGACACAATTGAAATACCATGGCTTGGGTTAAATGCACCTTAGTCTTCAAAGTCACATCTCTGCTCTTCAATACTTTAAAGAGACTTTTTGCAGCAGTTGCTGGAGGCACTCACTTGGCTATGCCAGGAGATTTGGAAGACAGCTATCTGGCAGACAGACTGGATGAGCTCCATATTTGTAGCCATTACAAAGAAAGGTGATCCCACAGAAAGTGGAAATTATAGAACAATATCATTGATATCATATGTAAATAAAATCTTACTGAATATAATTCAAAAATGGTTGTAGCAGTATATTGGCATAGAACTTCCAGAAATGCAAGCTTGATTCAGAAGAGGATGTAGAACAAGAGATATCATTGCCTATGTCAGATGGATCTTGGCTCTAAGCAAAGAATACCAGAAAGATGTTTGCTTCTGTTTTATTGACTATGCAAAAGCATTTGATTGTGTGAATCATAACAAATTACGGGTAACATTGAGAAGAATTGGAATTCCAGAACACTTAATTGTGCTTATGAGGAATCTGTACATAAATCAGGAGGCTGTCATTCAAACATAACAAGGGGACACTGTGTGGTTTAAAATTAAGAAGGAAGTATATCAGGGTTGTATCATTTCACCATACTTATTTAACTTGTATGCTGACAAAATATTCTGAAGATGGACTCTATGAAGAAGAACATGGCATCAGGATTGGAAGAAGAATCATTAACAATCTATGATATGCTGGTGACACAACTTTGCTTGCTGAAAGGATGACGTGAAACACTTATTGATGAAAATTGAAGACTACAGTCTGCAGTATGGATTACACCTAAATATAGAGAAAACAAAAATACGCACAACTGGACCTGTAAGCAGCATCATGATAAATGGAGAAAAAAATGAAGTTGTCAAAGACTTCATATTACTTGGTTCTACAATCAACACCAATGGAAGCAGCAGTCAGGACATCAGATGACTTAGAGCACTGGGAAAATCTGCTGCAAAAGACCTCTTTCAAGCCCTGAAAAGCAAAGATGTCTTCTTAAGGACTAAAGTGCTCCTGACACACCCATGGTATTTTGGATCACCTCATATGTATGTGAGAGCTGGACAATGAATAAGGAAGATCAAGGAAAAGTTAATGTTTTTGAGTTGTGGTACTGGCAAACAATGCTGACAGTATCATGGACTGCTGAAAGAACTAACAAATCTATCCTGGAAGAAGTGCAGCCAGAATGCTCCTTGGAAAAGAGAATGGCCAGACTTTGTCTCATCTACTTTGGTCATGTTGTAAGAAGGAACCATTCCCTGGAAAAGCATATCATGCTTGGTAAGGTACAGGTCGACGAAAGAGGGGAAGGCCTTCAACAAGATAGGTTGATGCAGTGGCTGGAACCATGGGCTCAAGTATAGCAAGGATCATGGAGCTGGCATGGGATCAGGCAGTGTTTTGTTCTGTTGTGCATAGGGTTACTATAAGTTGGAGACAACTCAACAGCACCTAACAACAACAACCTAACATTTGTAGCAGACTTGCTTAGTGCAATACGTCATCTGATTTCTTGACTGTGCTGCCGTGGGTGTTGATTGTGGATCCAAATAAAATTAAATCTTTGACAATTTCAATCTTTTCTCCATTGATCGTGATACTGCTTATTGGTCCAGTTGCAAGGATTTTTGTTTTCTTTATGTTGAGGCATAATCCATACTGCAGACTGTAGTCTTTATATATATATATATACACACACACACACATGTTTTATTTGTTTTGCTTATACCATCAGAACTCAAACTACTGACTTGTCATTTCCCTAAATCAGGAAAATCAATCTAAAACATATACTGGTGTTTTCAAAAGATAGCAATTTAAAAGGGTAGCAGCAGGCATTTGATATCTTTTTCTTTTGAAAAGAACCTTCAGGCTGCAGGAAATACACATGATCAAAAGTGTTATGATTATCCATTAGAAATTTTCATCAATACCTATACCAATTTAGGTGACAATACAGCAAAATCCAAGGATTAGTGACAGACAATGTACATGTCATAAGGAATGATATAAAGTACCAATCCTTGCAAAAGTCATTGTCAAAAAACTGTTAAGTGTTCAAAAAGGTATCTAAATATTTCACATTAGATGTAGAAGCGGTCATTCAGATTATATCCCATATTTGTTGCTATTTTTCAAAAAGTGCCAATCAAAGCCTGATTTTGCATTTTGGCTTTGTATTATACAGTATCAGCTGTTAAAAAAAAAAAAAAATTACATGTTTTTGTTTTTTAACCAGTCATTTGGCCAGATGATAAATAGTGCTGTTTCAAAGATGGTAGTCAGCCTCAAATGTGTGATTAAGGGCCCATGCGTAATTTGGTATGCATCAAATGTCCAGTGCTCCAATTTAAGTGGAAAAGTTCTTTCCATCATCCTTTCTTGGGAAATATTTAACAACACTAGGGCTGATTTGAAGATTTTATGAAAATGTCAAAAAAGTCAAACTTGCTTTTTCAAGCCACTTCAAACCATAGAGATATTATCACCCTATAAGGTATATGTTTTACTCCTAACAAGGGTGAGGAATCTGAATATCATGTGCAAGGCTCAAGATGATGCTCAGGACAGAACATGCAGAGTAAAAATAGCTTCTTTCCATATCCAGGTAATATAAAGCTGACAATAGTAGTCCTGTCTTTATGGGATGAAAATAGTCCATTTACAATAAGTTTCCTGAAAGGGAGAACAAATACATAATAACTCTTCTGGTAACATTATGGTATACTTGCCAGTGTGTTTTTGGTGATAAAACATAATCTTGTGAATCAGATTAATTCACTTGTTGAGTGTTCATTTGTGCCATCCCTCTGTTGGGTCTTGGGGGCCCTCCATGACCTTGTGGGGCTCCCCGTGGTCCACTCTGCCCAGAACTTCACTTGAAATTCTGCTGATATCTATCCCACTGATAGCTAGAGTAGTCCCAGGGAGCACTGAATTGAGACTGTGTATAACCACTGTTTGGAGTGTTAGAGAATGAAGGGCAGTAACCATCATATCCTCCTCTGAATCCATTGGCAG